GCGCAAAACATCGTGAATAAATCGCTGGAATGTTTGTGCGGCGTTGCGGAGACCAAACGGCATTCGAAGAAATTCGAAAAGACCAAAAGGGGTGATCACTGCCGTTTTAGGAATATCATCTAGGTGAACTGGAATCTGATGATAGGCTCTGGTTAAGTCCAGTTTACTGAATACCGTGGCACCCTTTAGCGATGACGTAAGGTCATGTATATGTGGTACGGGGTAGCGATCTGGCATGGTCTGTGCGTTAAGCCTGCGGTAATCACCACAAGGCCTCCAATCTATCCCGTTATTCTTTGGAACCATATGTAAAGGGGAAGACCACGGGCTGCTGGAAGGACGGATTATCCCCAAATCTAACATATGTTCGAATTCAGCCTTCACGGCTTGTAGTTTTTCTAGGGACAATCGCCGTGGCTTAACGAAGACCGGTGGACCAGTGGTCACGATATGATGAGTGACAGTAGACGTCACACAAGGAAGTTTAGAAACCGGTTTGAACAGGTTGGCAAAGTATTGAAGAACTTCAGCGTAAGGGCCGTTAGAGGCAGGGGTTGAATATACGGGGCTTAATGCAGGTGTGTGTGTCACAACACCGGAGATCGAAAGGTTTGTAGCTGAATCGATCAGTTTGTGTTTGCCAGTATCAACCAGTAGCTGTTGCATGAGATCCATGCCAATAATACCGGTAGTTACATCTGTTACAAGGAAAACCCAGCGAAATGACCTACGTAGGCCTATGTTAAGATCCAGGAACCTTTTGCCGTACGTTGTGATTGGCGAACCGTTTGCGGCGCGAAGCTGTAAGGAAAGTGGCCGCTTGCGCTCTTCAGATGTTGGTGGAATCACGCTAACTTCCGCCCCAGTGTCTACCAGGAAGCGTGTCCCAGTGTTACGGTCGGTAACATAGAAGAGGCGACATGGAAGTGGTTCGCCAGCGACGTTAGTCGCCAATACGTGCTGGCTTACTGGTTTCCCGATTGCTGGCCATTAAAGGTGCACGGGCGAGTGCACTTTTGGGCCTTGTCACCATAACGCCGGTGATACCAGCACACTCCAGGTTGGGAATTTTGAGGCCTACGACGTCTGCTGCCAGCTCGTGAAGATCTACCACGAGTCGAGCTGGTGCGGCTATTCGAACGACCTCTAGGTGTCATCTCCTGTCTTAACTTATCTATCTCTTCATAAAGCTTAGCTATGTAGGCCACCACATCTAATTTTGATGACCCTTCGGTAGAGGAGTCCTTCGTCTGAGTGGGACTTACGGTTACGGCCATCCCGCGAACAAGACGATATATAAATAGAATGATAACAACAAATATGATAACAAAAAAATACGAGTAAAAACAAGGCAAGTAAAATTTTGTAACTCTGTGTGACAAACAAATTGCCAATATGAAAAAGGACTATTTACACTTTAGGCTACTTAGTAGGCAAACGGTGAAAACTCGGGCTCACCACTTGTAAGAGTTATACTTAGGATTTACTTCGACCTAACAATAACCGCTCTTACAAAACTTCTTCACCGTTTATGACCTTAATAGTACTCTGCCTACGTGCAAGTACTAAAGAACGGAATCAAAGTTAAAAGACTTGAAATGGCAAGTGTAACTGGACCGGAATTGTATTTACACAAAGAGATATGGAATTTGATAAGAAATAAAAAAGTACACACTTATCTGGAGGTGAGACGGTGGTCAGCTCGGAGAGTGTACTAGGTGAAAGTACAGTGAGAGAGCGAAACCAAAACCGCACAGGAGGTTCAGGAATACAAAGTGGAAGTGGGGTTAAAGGTCAGGTTGCGTTCATTCCAACAAAAGTTCAAAGGTACAATGTACACTACAGATTCACGGCTATTAAAGATTCTTTAGGAAAATTAAAATGTAGATATCAAACCCCTTTTTCCCGATAAGTAGTTTAAACGAGACATTTTCAGTTGTCGACTTAACGTTTTGTTCCTTATTATTGCGGATATTAGTTACGAATCATAGCGAATTAAACTAAATTTCTCAGTGTACTCCGCTAACGACGGCACAAACAACAAGTTCAGTCGTTCAACTCACCGTTAAGCATTAATTATAGCGAAATTTCATTCAGACAATGTAATTGAGCAAATACTACCCTTCAATAATTTCCTCTTCTGGCTCTACAATTATATATATATTTATATATATAGAATATTCTAGAATAGTAGCCAATAACAATATTAGTTTTAAAAAAATATTATTATCGATTCGTCAAGTAAGATCAATTAAATTACAGTTCATTAAAGATGGTTAAATTATAACAATAATAATAAAAATATAATAGCAAACAGAATATCAACTAAAATTAGGGAAATTTCTACAAAAATTGGGGATCATACGAACGTAGATGGCCAAGGTAAGGACAATGTATGAACTAACTTCTTTTGGACGCATAAATTAGGCTTCTCAATGTGGATCCCAATGGGCTCAACAATATATAGTAATCGAACTCTTAAGGTGAAGTTAATATTTGTTAGTATATGGTGAATGACTTTGAAAGTCTCCTTGACATAAATCTTGTGTTCTGTATCCACAAGATGAGATAGAATATCTCTACGAATAGATTTTGTTTGTCCTTTACTTAACCACTCAGGGTGATGGTCGAAAATCCGACGAGAAACACACCTAATTTTACAGCCTATGTAACTGGCTCCACAGTAGCAGTTAAAATGGTAGATACACATGGAAGAGGCGAAACAAGGCAGTTTGTCTTTTACTCCCGAACGCAAAATAGGGGTGGTTTCGAAGACAGCGTAATTCAGCATCAGGGAATGCTCATTTTACCTCATTTCTAAGGCACTAATGTTGTCCCCGAGCAACTGAATTTGTACCTTGGGCTGCCTTGACTTTAGATTCACATTCTTATCAATAAACTTTTCTGGATAACCGTTCTCACTGAGCAACCGTTTAATATTATTGAGTTCCTCATCAAGACATTCATCCAAGCAGATTGCTCTTGCTCTGTGAACCAAGTACTCTATCAGATTGCGTTTGCATTTCAAGGGCACGAAGCTGTAAAAATGAGTAAACTGACCAGTTGATGTAGGTTTTCTACATACACTTCTTATTGTGCCTTTCTCCAGAAATGAAATACTAGAGTCTTTTTCTTTCTCAATAGTAAAACTTATTGCAGGATGAACATCGTTAAATTTGTCCAGAATTTTCTTTGCTTCATCCTCATTTTTCATAATCAGAAATGTATCATCCATGTACCGACAATAGGATTCAAGTTCATCAATTACATCTTTCAAAGGTTTATTTTTTGTTTTGCAAAGAAAATGTCGGTTAGAATGGGTCCTAGTGGTGACCCCTCTGCCACACAATCAGTTTGTCTGTGTAGTTCCTTATTAAATAAAAAAAAGTGAACATTCATTGTGCGTTTCAAGAGAAGCTCTTATAAAAGATATAAGAATGCCGACATCGATGTTTCGTCTTATGAGTTCTTCGCATACAAAGTCTACTGTTTCCAGAAGTGGTACATTGGTGAATAAGGAAGATACGTCAAATGATATCACGAATTTATTGTCAACATTTAAATCTTTTATCTTTTCAACAAATCGAAAAGTTTCCTTTACACTGTTTCACTAACTCGGTATGAAGGGGCTGTAAGAGCTCGACTAACCATTTGTCTACGGGATGGTATGGTGAATTTAACATATCTAATATTGGTCGAAGTGGTACACCATTTCTGTGCACTTTAGGCGAGCCATATAATCTTGGTGTGAACGTTCCAGTGGGTTTCAGTGATGTATACTGACTTTGTTATGAGATGAAGCCTTGTTTTTTCAGTCTTATCAATGTTTCCACTAACTGTTTCTGTATCTTTTCAATCGGATCCAACCACTATTCTAGAATATTCTATGTATATAAACATATATATAATTGTAGAGCTAGAAGAGGAAATTATTGAAAAATTAATTACTCACCAAAATCTTTTTGCAATATATTCTTGTTATTCACATGAATGGAGAAGGGTAAGTTGCAATTATATTTATTTCAGTAAGTTTTCATGTGATATATATATATATTCACTGGGATTTACATGCCAACTTAATTTATGTCCTGACAAACTGAAACACATATTGGTAAGATTGAAATAGTAAATAAGATTAGGGCAGATACACTTCGCTCTTGTTGCACTGTAAAGCACACTACGTGCGCTTGTAAAAGTTTTCCGTACAATAGATCCTAATATGTTAACGGTTGTTTGAAAAATTATCTGAGTCTTTTGTATGCACCGTTGAAATGGAATTCTGCATCACCAACAATTTTACCAATTCCGGGTTTGTGCATACCAGAACACTTGTCTAGTGGCACTGTCCTTATTTGGAAGCCTAACAGTATATATAATCTATTTTTCAACATTTACAAGTGAATAATTGTTCGTTCCTTGCGTTGCGAGTAAGACTTCAGCAACACGTCTTCACTGCAGTTGGTTCTCTGCTATCATTTTCAGCTGTTTCCTCTTCACATGGTCTTCTCCTGGTCATCTTTGGACACCAAACTCATCTCTTCCTATTCGGGTTCCACTCAAGGATTTGATGTATGGTGTCACTTTAAGGTTACTCCAGCTTTATGTTTAGTCCACCTACATTTGCTTCTGGAAAATTGTTCGTTGGTAGGTTATTAGCTCGCTTGCTGCCAATTTCACTCTTGGTAATAATAAACCTATTGTTTTAATAGCCTCATTCTCACTGATAATGTCATTTAGTCAGTACAATATGCTTCGTAATTCATTTTCCTTGGTGCAAGTGTTAAAGTACCAGCAATAATCGCATATTTCATGTCATTAAAGTCTGTGGGATTTAGGTTGAACAAAATGTCAGCCGAGCCTGGAATTTTTAGCATCACTCAGATTCTCATCCAGGACTATCGCTTCTGTTTAACATTTTCCAATACAGATGTTTTTGTGTTCGTTTTGCTGACCATCGTTATAGGTATATATATAAAAAATTGTTATGAATTTTCATCTAGCCGTAATGACTGAGTTCAATATCGGAGCTCATTGTTCTCAGGAGGATTGCAAACAGTTAGGTAAGTATTCCTTGCTTTTTCATCATAAATTAAGTTATTTTTCTTAATCTCCTATTCTGATTGATATTTGTATCTGAGTGGAATGTTTATTCAACACAAATATTGATTTTATGGGAAATTTGCTTATGTGATCACTTGTAATTCAGTTCTTTTGTTAGACGATACTCCTAAAGATTTTCGTTAGAATTTTATGTAGAAGCATCTCAGTAGTTATGACTTTTTTTACGGGGTTGGGGTTGGCAGCCTCACGCTCAACCTTGCTTCTTCACTGGGCTCAATACTGGCTAATTGAGGTTTATCAGTGCTTCGGTCGGAACCATATATATATATATATATGTATATATCAAGGATTTTCATGTGTTTATAGTTAATTGCATGGAGGATTTCATCATGAGCTGACATAAGTTAGAGAACCACTGGAAAACCTGAGAGTACTGGACGGCTGTTTCGTCCTAGTTTGGGGCTCCTCATCAGTACACACCCACTGGGGTTCGAACCCAGAACCTTCTGTTTACAAGGCGAGCCAGCTCGTAGACCATTGAGCCACTGGGACCCGATCTGATGGTTCTTGAATTCTAACTTCTGCCAATTCACGACATAGCGCGACCAGTACTTGAAAATTTATAGATGTTACTGATAATGATATTTTCATAATAATTCTTACAACCTATAAATCAAGAATCGAACTGTTTCATCATCGTAGTAAGATTTATAGACTTCGCTCTCTTTTTTTTATACTTTGAAACAATCATTTAACTGCAGTTTAAGTTAGTTCTACGTCAAGACATGTGTAAAAATTATACATATGAATAAATCTCGTTGACGTCGAAATCAATCAATAAATAAATAAGTGCGAGGTCACATTTTGTATTTAGAATCCTTGTCCAATCATGTTTAAGTTTAAGTTCATAGTCATCAAAACAGAATTTTTAATCATCATTATTAATATTAGTCTTTTTTGTGTTATGCACTGTAAACAGTGTATGCTAGCTAGTATGCACTTTTACACTTATCTTAAGTGAATATGTTAGAACATTGGTCATATTAACACTGAAACAGGAAGGGAATTTGCACTCTTTTAAAAATGTGAATGTTGTATATATATATATATTTGTATATATATATATATTTTTCTTTCCTTCACATTCCCCAGTGGAACGTAGGGCTTCAAGCTAGTGGCTTGAAGTTTCTGTAGCAGTGTTTATTTTTACAGGATGGGGTTGCTAGCCTCATGCCCAGCCTTTCTTCTTCACCAGCATTATTTCTGTCTTAGCGCGGTAAAGGAGTGTGTCGGCCGGGGATCGAACCCCGGACCATGTGCATGGTTGGCGAGCGTCCTAACCGCTATATCACCGACGCACATATATATCTGTATAGAAGGTGAATAATCACATAATTAGTCTGCATTTTGAAATAAAATGAGTTGACGTTGAATCTCTTTTGTATCTGCAGCAGTGTTGATTACATACACCCATAACGAAAAACGGATAATCTCAGTGAAATATATGTTGTTTTAGATGGTACAAATAATCAGGACAGTGACTAGACAGATGTGAGAATTAGTGATACAGATGTATTTTATTCAATTTAAAATCACTCCAATTGATAGTGGAATATATATAGTGAAGGATTCGTGTGAGTTTATTATTATTCCCTTGGGTTCCGAGTAGGGCATAAGGCTTCAACAGCACATTTTCAGTTAATCTTTTTCTCTGAAGTCCTTTTAAAAGTTGACTTCAAGATTGTCCATAAGCTCTCATATTCTCTGAACATGATTTGCTTCATGTCATCCTCGGACACCCAACTCATCGTTTCCTGTTCTTGTTCTAGTTGTGGGCATGCAGTGCGATGTCACTCAACGGTCTACTCAGAGTGGGTCTGATCTATTTCCATTTTCTTGAGCATATTTGTCATAAACTTGAACAAAGCAAGAACAACAATTGTACCAGGATAATATGAGCTCATCTTTTATTATTTCGAGGATTCTTCTCAACTGGTTACAACCTGAACGATAAAAAATATGAATTACATTAAAGATTTGAACATACTTTTCCACGATCACAAGGAGTAATTGGTAGGAAGTAAAAGTAACATTAGTCCGGAATGATTTAACTAATTAAGAGTTACAAACACTGACTATTTATAGATTAGTTAGACGATTAGGCTTGGAAACAAAAAAACAGAGTTGCGTATAGAAACAAGGTTAAGATAGAAAGAGCATAACAAAAAGATTGGATTACGTAACTAAGGAAAATGTTTTATCTAATATCCAATAAAAAGAAAAAGAACAAGGTAGGGTGAGTCATGTTTAGATGAGAGAGTAGAGTTTTCTAAACAAGAAAAAGGGTGACTCATAAAGTTGTATATTATCACCAGGGCAGTGCAAGATTCGCCACTGTCTCTCTTTGCGTACATAGATTTCGTTTGAGTCGTTTGATGGCAATTGCTTCAGCAAACAGTGAAGACACGTCGAAGGACACCATAAATTTATTTGAGACGCTTAGATTCTCTAATTATTTAGCGAATTGGAAGGTGTCTTTCAGGCTGTAGACTGCTAATTTACCACGGATTGGTTCTAACATTTCTGCTAGCCACCTAGCTACTTTGTGATACGGCGAATTAATCATAGATAATATTGGTCTCATAGGGATGTCAGGTTAATGCATCTTTGGTAAGCCGTACAGGTAAGGCAATCTGGATCCCTTAGGCTTCAGTTCGTTGTATATGTTGTTGTCAATCAACTACTTCAAAAGTTCTCTTAGCTTCTCTGTAATTCGTCTTTGCATTGATATATTTTTGCATATTTGCTACGCAATAGATTATTGGTTTGTTCATCCTAGAGTTCCCCGTCGTTTATCGTTTCTGGCCATCTTATCTTCAATATCAAGCGAAGGCAACTGTTGGTGAAAGTAAGAAGCCTGTTGGAAATGCTCTTCGTGACACGAGCGGTAAATCTCTGAACCACATAGAAGCGTTGAGTATTAACGGAAGTGTTGGAAATACGAATCTTGTTCAACGGGAGTCTTGTCTTCATTATTTCTTTTGCCAGTTTGTTGGTTTTCAAGTGTGGATCTCCGAGTTTATGTGACATCAGACATAAGTCTAGATCTTTCATAGTCTTTTTGTCGGTCAAAAATGATGCAATAATGGTTTATGGTGTCAACCCACATTAGCGTCAATTGATTCTGTTTGCAAAGTGCAGACAAATGATGTACAATCCTTCACCTATACATATTATTTTACACCTCATTGAAATTGTTAAAAGATGGTACATATTCCCTTACTACTTTCATTTCACCATGTAGAGCGCTTTGTGGGACCTTTTTTTTATTATCGAAAATGTAAATTAACGGCAGGTCGAAAAAACACACTACTTGGATGTTTTGTTTTTCAGATTTCCTGCCTATCAATTGTGAACTCTGTGGTCGTATCTTTTGGTAAGTTTAACCTATTTTGACGGTATCTTGACGGTATTTAACATCAGTTGGCGAATAGAACCACACTAGCTTAGTTACCACATTGTGCATAGACACTTTGGTGTAAATAAAGTAAGAACGAACATATTTGCAGGACATTACGAGCTCGTTTTGTTTTGGTGGATTCTCTTCAACTGCCTGCATCCTAAATAAATCAATTATATGTTAGAAAGTGGTGTCTGAACATACTTTTTACAGCGGTTTCAAGTTATATATAGAAAATATAGACAACATAATTTGAAAGCTGATGTAAGTAGACAATTATTTAGTGTGTTAAAAGAGTACCTATTTATGTAGTAAGTAGATAAGATCGGGTTGTGTTCAAATTTCATTTGGAGACAAGGCTGGACTACAGACAAAATACAAGGTCGAACAACAGAGAGTTAATTTATGTATAATTTGGTGGAGAGTTCAGGAGAGTAGGGTGATTAGTAAATCAACATTATAAAATAGATAAAATAATTTAATTTAGTAGGCTTGGAACCTTCACCATTCACCCCGACCCTCCTGAACTCTCTACCATAATTTGTATGAATTAATTCTGTTGTTCTCTCTTGTATTTTGTCTCTGGTTCGTCCTTGCGTTCCACAGAAATCTGAACTCCAGCCGCTTGTCTAATTACTACATAAATAGTTACTCTTTTAACACTAAATAACTGTCTACTTACATCACCTTTCAAATTATGTTGCCTATAATACTTTCTATTTATATCTTGAAATCACTGTAAAAAAGTATGTTCAGACACCATTTTGTAACATATAAATTTGATTTATTTAGGATGTAGGTAGTTGAAGAGAATCCACGAAATAAACCGAGCTCCTATTATCCTGCAAATATCTGTTCGTTCTTTCTTTTATTCAAACTAATAAAGGGAACCGGCTGTGTGAAAGACACTTTGGTATTAGACAATTACTGATTGGTGCATATTATTTGTCTATGTAATATCGCATACCTTCTATCGATTTTTTACTTCTATAATTATCGTTAACTAATTATTAAGATTAATGAGCATGCCGGTTGTGTCTTCAGATTTTTCACACTGAGAATGCCGACATTATTGTGATGACCTTTGAAAAGAAAACTTATACTTCACAGTCAGATTTTAATATTTGTTTGTCAATGATTCTGCAAGCCTAACAGACCATGTGTCGTCACCAAAAAGTTTATCATAACTCGTTAAACCATACATTACTGATTGATTGAGATAAGTAGCTGTAAACAAATCACATCAACCATTAGTAGTGCTTGCTTGCTAGCCAGACCATCATCGAAGTGATCTAAACATTGGACGGCTGTTTCGCTTGTTCGGCGTCGAACTCATCAACGGTGGTGTATCCAGTTTGACTCACCTAAGAGTATAATTCATGGGCTATTGGGTCGGGTCCCGGTGGCTGAATGATCTACAAACTAGCCTCGCAATCTAAGGGTCTTGGGTTCGAACCCTGTGGACGAGTACTGCTGAGGAGTCACAAACTAGGTCGGGACATCTGTCCAGTACTCTCAGGTTTCCCAGTGGTTCTCTTACTGACGTCGACCCGTGATCATCCCAGATAGCCGAATCACTTCAAGGCATCCGGATGCTGCTGGCTAGCTACTTGAGTGAACTGGTGAAATTTCACCAGTTCTATTTTCTGCCATCCTCTTCAGCTGGGTCCACGATTTCCTATTATCTCTCATCTCTTCCTCATACGATTTACTCCATGTCACCCTCGCGCATACGACCTACTCATCGCTGCCCATTGGGATTCCACTCAAGCAATGGCTTACCGTAAGCACGATGTCATTCGACGGTTTCCTCAATGTATGCCCCACCCATCTCCACTTTCTCCTAAATATTGATTGAGTGATCCGCTCTTGGTTAGTTTGTTCCCACAGTTTCTTGTTACTAATTCTTTCTGGCCAGCTGGCCAGTATGGAGCCAGCGAAGGGAGCAGCTATTGACAAAAGTCTGCAACCTGTTGGAAATCCTTTTCGTGACTGACACGCAAAGCAAGTTTCTGACCCGTATTGAAGAATCGACGTCACATTGGTGTTGAAAATCCGAATCTACTTCTTTATGCTGGTTGAGTACAGAAGATTTCCAAACTGGTTTCGAGTTGATGAAGGCGCACCTTACCTTTCCGATTCTGCCTGTCTGGCTTTGACATCTCCATCCGTCCCGCCTGTAGTTGAAACGATGCCTCCTAGATAAGTGAAGACAGTAACCTCTGTTAAATCTCTCTCTTTGATGGTGATTGGTGCTAGTTGTTGCAGCCCGTTGGTTATCTACATCACCTCCGTCTTCTCTATGTTCATTTGAAGTCCTGTCTTCGCTGCTTCTTCAGCCAGTTTGTTGGTTTTTGCCTGTAAGTCTTCGAGTCTGTGTGACATCAAACATTAGTCATCTGCTAAATCCAGATCTTCTAGAGTCTTCTTATCTGTCCGATATAATTCTTGTCTTCTCGCTCCCCACAGTCTGGCGCATAATCCAGTCCACTACAATTGAGAATATCATTGTGGGTAATAATAGACAGCCAGCCTGTCTTACTACTGTATTCACTTCGAACGCCTCACTGAGTTTTCCTGAAGTAATAATGATTCATTAAGATCAATAGATCACAGTTCAAATGTGTGGTGATATGCGTATATATAGTACTGAATTGAATATTACATAAATTAAGTAAAATGATGCGGAATTTATGAATTTATAGATACTAAAAAAGGTCAAGGCATCAATAGTGACTTGGTCTGTTTCTTTTGTACACGGAAACCCGGTTGTTCCTTGAATCGATTTCCCTGACTTTTCGGTTACTATTTCGCTTTGTACGTGACCTTTGAATTGCAGTCGCATATATAGAGATCACTTGTTTACAGTTGCAGAACAGTTTTTTTCAACCTTCTTGGGCATATATTTTATGATGAACTTTTCTTGATAGATATTTTCAATTTAGATGTCATATGCAATCTTAGGTTCGTCTTCAATTATATCTGAACTTTTAATACCTGTTAAATTGCAGCTCATATTTTACACACAACCAGTTGTGATTTCTCAACTGTGATAGATGAAGTACCTGAACTAGTCACTTCTTCTTGCTCTTTATCGATTCAACGGCTCCTATGTAACCAGCTGTATTGGCTATCGCTTTAGAATCCTAGTTGTTCGTTCTCGGGAGTATTTACTAGTGTCCCGACCGAAAGCTGCTACCTTGACGTGGTGGTCGGGCTTGCATATTGCAATGACCCAACGAGCTACACTAGCTGGAACTTATGTTCCTGTAGGTCCTACCATGCCAGAAAGGTTGTTTGGATAGCGGTTAGACAAAAAGCAGCTACCCAATCCAATACTATGACTCAAACAAACTCACAAAATATCATACCGGATCGGTCAGGGCCCGGATTAACAACGACCGCGCTTCCTGCTGCCGTGTCACAGAGCAGAAGTGATAAATACGCTACTGAGACACACCAAATAAAAAAGAACAAACAAAAACAGGCCGTGTGTGACCGGCCTCAAGCAGTTGTCCCCTGGGCTCTGCGGTCACGCAACCAACTTCCACGGTGTGGGCAGCCGGGAAGTAACAATCGCCCTCACAAACCGAAGTGCACGCGAAACCTCTTTAATCCTCACTCACCTTTGTCTTCATCTTCATCTCTATTATCTTGCCTTCCTTCTACTAATGCAACTCCTCTACTTAATGGCTCTTCACTTCTTCTTCACTCTGTGTGCACTGATAACGATGGAAGCCAAAAAGCCACCATCGATAGTCTCCTAAAAATTTACTAGTGTGGCTAAATAAGGGCGCAGTAAAAACCGCCAACAGTTCGATGTTAGATTATCTGATCGCAATAAGCCATACAGCTAACATTGAAGAATCTCTTTTTATCATCTGTCAGGTATCCAATAAATTGGGAAAAGCGTCTAGGTACTGAATGCCTCAAACAGCATAGGTCATCGTAATTTAATTAGAACAACCGAAACTATGCCTGGCATAGGCCCAGGCATTATCACTGCCCTGACTCCTTATGGCGCATATAGCTTCATATGTTTTCTAGTGCTTTTATTAATCTATCTGATATTCATTTTAATGTCTACTCTGTTTTTGAATAGAAATCTGTGGATCTTAATAAATTCGATGTTTAATTTTATCAGTCAACATTTCACTTTCGTTTTAATGCCTTAGTTTTTCTTTTCTTTTCTAAATGTTCACAGCAAGACTCACAGTTCCTTGACGGCGCATAATTGTCCTATATCAAATTCTTCCTATCCTCAAGAATCTATCAGGTTGGCGTTTTTTGTATGGTTTTGATTCAAAATTCTCTTTTTTTTCACCGTGTAGTCATAGTCTGCATTGTGATGCTGATAATGGTGAAGATAATACCGGTAATGTTTGTGATTTTCATCAGTGCGGTGAACGACAATTGGTGCTGTTAACTTGTGAAGCATGCAGTGGAAATTTCTGTATCAGGTCAGTGGAATAAAATATTCAAAATTCATTTTGTCTATTGATGAAGGTGATGTTGTGTACCTTCTGAGCTTGATAAAGTTATCTTAACAAAATTATTCTAATTTACGATAAGAAGTAGAATGCCACTCATACAGAGGTACGGACGATAACGCAAATTATCTAACCTGACGTTACTTGGTCGTCATTGATCATAATTTCAATGACTGTACTTTCAAACAAGGCGATTGCGTCTTGCATTCAAGTCTTCAATTCACACTAGGACATCTGCTACATGTATCAACATCATTAGTGCTTTTTCTATGCCTTTATTTTCAAATGGAATGTACGGCTTCAGCCTCAAAGACTTGAAATTTCAGTAGTGGTGGTGTTGGTGGGGTGGCTAGCCTCATACATAACCTTCCCTCTCTTCTGACCTTGCTATTGGTTAGTTAACTAGGCTAGGCGAGGTTCGGGAGTACTTCAGCCGGAAATCGATCCCCGGACGAATTGCGTGGTTCTCGAGGTTCCTTCCATTGAACCACCGACACATTAACATTATTTATACCCCGAGTGTAATTAAAGTAAATTCGAGTCTTTATTCTCTTGTGAACTCCTCAGGAGTTGAATTTTACGTTTACTGGAGTTGTGACTAACTGGGCTATATGCCTTGCTGCTGCTGCTGCTGGATTCATCATAGAACTTGGCACCGAAGTGCAGCAGTCCCAGTTGCCACGTTCCAAATAGCACACAAAGGTAGACAGGAAAATGAGAGAAGAGAATCAATAGAATATAGATAAGTATAAGAGTGAAACAGAGTGAGTAACGGTAGAAAGGAATATGAAGGTTAAAGAGACTGAATACATCTGCGTAAGCCATTGACAACGATTTTGAGCCATGTCACCTATTGTCTCCAGCCATTGATTCTTAGAGTCCCGATGGCGGGCCCCAACCCGGAAGTCTGTATCTCCCTACCTGACTCAGTTTAACTGTCAATGATTTCATGGATTGATGCCATGGCTATATGCCTTGCTTTATAATCACTTGGTTCACGCGGAGATTTTCAGACAGCTAGGTAGGGTTGCTATCGGAAGCACTCATATACACTAAGTGTGGCATCTTGTCGACTGCATCAAATCAGAGGTGGCTGTTGAGTAACACTTTACATTTCCTTCCCACCAGTCTCTGTCTGCTATGTGCAGTTCACTGTCCTGGTAATATACAACTATATTTGATTATCTTACGGCTTTTCTGAGTGCTACTCATGTCCATTTTTATTTGTACAGACTGTTTGTTTTCACGTTTGAACATCACAGTGTAAATTAAGTGTTGAAGACCAATTATCGTATTGATAGTAGCATCATTAAAGTCGGCTATCTAATACTGATAGTTGAGGGGCAACTGAGATTCTTTTATCCTCATCATCTTCAAAGTAGATAGTCGCAAATATGGAGGAGATAACTATCTGTTCGGAGATTGCCTGTCGTTTGAAAATCAACTAGTTTGAGAAGTATATTCTTGTGAATACAAATGTGAATGGACAACTGTGACACAGATTTTAAATATAACTTTCAACTACTACTTGACGAATTATTGAGATGGAAAATTAACGTGAGGGGTGGAGATCAATACAATGTTAGAGCTCAAATACCCGTGACATATTTTCCATTCATCAGACTATGATCCACGGGTATTGTGTAAGAGCTAATGTTACCAATCAATCGCCCAGAGTGAAGTGGATGGAGTGATTTTAAAACCCCGGATCCCCTGACTGACAGTAATCTGCTTAAGCATTCAATTATGCCCTTGTATGGCAATATATACTCACGTACATTTTTACTTAGCTATCCATCTACCGGTACACAAATCTCAGATACAAGGGAAAATATCATAGGGGATGATTCTATGCTTCAGATAGAACTGCATTTCGTCACATTATAAAATATAGATTGCTATTTTACTTGAAAATCATGGATGAAGAGAAAGCATTAAGTAGTAATAAATTAAACTGAGAACCTTGTACACTTTTTTCAGAATCAAGCTGTTATTAATATTGTATTATTATTAGCAGTGGAATCCAGGATGAACACTTCGTCCTACTGATGACTCGGCATCTGGATTTACCCGCAATCCCCAGTGCGTTTTGGTGTTGCCATTTTGACTTGAAACTAGCTCCCATCCTTTCAAAGGCTAAGACACTATCCTCCAAGTCACTTCGACCAGTACCAGTCATTATTTGTTGACATGTCAACACCTAGTGCTGACTTTTAAATGATGTTTGAGGATTACACATGATTTTATGTGGTGGATGGATGGTGACTAACAACTGCATTACTGGCACAACTATTTGACGAGTCGCAAATAAGACGAAATGCACATGTTGCACTGTAGTGCTAGTAATATATTCAAAATAACAGCTGCATTCTGAACAAAAGATGTACAACATTCTCTGCGTAATTTACTGCCTGCTATTTTCTCTTCACATAGTATCGTCAAGTAAAATAGCAATCTGTGGTTTATAATGTGACGAAATGCAGTTCTATCTGAAGCATGGAATAAGCCCTTATGATACTTTTCCTTCGTCCCTGAGAAATGCTCACCGACAGATAGAAAGCCCATTAAAAAAATATGCGTGAGCACATTTTGCGACTCAACGGCATAATTGAATGGGTAAAGAATCAGAGGAAGTACGTTATAGTGTGTCGGATGGAAGTCAAGTAGCCCAGTGATCCAAGCAAACCGCAAATCAGTTAAAAAGTGTATACATGCTAACATCAGCAGTTATCTGGGTGCCTGAATTCCAAGTAACACGTCCCTAATCTGATATATATTTTGACCAAAAGACAAAGACGTAAACGGAGAATAAAATTTTCGTTTCGACGATTCATTTTCATAAGCTGCTGTACAATCGCTATTATATTTGACGAAGAAATCATAAGACCAACCAGATACTGGTAAAATTTGTCCTCGAAAAACTCATTACGTAATGTAAGTTGTAACAGACTGGGTGACTAACTGGAAGTTAGAAAAGAGACAGCAGTTGGCATGACGTAATAAGTGTGAGAAAATGATTAATCAATATAATTGTATGCAATTGACAAGAACTGATGGAAAGACGATAAAGTGTTTTTATATAAAATCTGTATGAAAACGCAATGTTATTAATGAACAGTAATAGAGTGAAAATAATCATGATAATAAAATAATTATAACAATAATAATAGTAAAAGAAGAAAAATTATGGTAAGAAAGTTACTCTGTGTACAGTAGGGCGAGTGAATGTATGTGGTGCTTTTGAATACAGAGGTCCGGTTTCAGATCCCGAATAGCCAATGATTCGGCTATGTACAGATGGTGTATTCAAAATTCTTTCTTACAATATTCAGGGACTCTGTGTAGCACTGTGAAGCATTCATGCAAATTGGTGTACTCAATGTCCAGAGTTGACAAGGTGTTCGAGAATAGGGTTGCTACTGTTCTTCTTTTCTCCCTTTGTCAGTTAATTAGATTCTAATTGAAGTCAGCCTATGGATAGGACAATGTTATCACTTTAGCTGATAAAGAGTAATATCTGTTGAAAGAGTCATAAGCTAATTATGGTAGCTATACTCTCTTCGGCCTTCAGTCTTGTGTGTGTGTGTGTGTGAAAAATTACTCCTTTTATAAACGAATTGCATGTCTTCAACCGGAAGGTCTCATCAACAATATAAGTCCCTATAAAAAAAATGCTGAAACATCTTCCACACGAGTAGCCTGATATTATAAATCGTCAGACACAAATGATTTTTTAAACAACTAGAGTAAACAAGTGTGGAAATATAATATTCCACTGGACTGTATTTTGGTGCGTTGGTGGTACAACGGTAGAATGATCGCCAACTACGCAAGTGGTCCGGGGTTCGATTCCCGGCCAGCGACGCACTCCTTTACCTCGCTAAGCCAGTAATAAGACTGGTAAAGTGGGAAGGTTGGGTATGAGGCTAGCAACCGCATTCCGTAAAAATAATAAACACCACTGCTACTACCGAAACTTCAGGCCTGTATCTTGAAGCCCTATACCCCACTGGGAACGTAAAAGAATAAAATTTTAAAAAGATAACTGGATTGTATTTTAATATCAGGTCTATGTAGAAGTACCCATCTACTAGAGAGAAAGTGAATTCAACTGATAAGTCCTATGGGAGACGAAACTTACTTTACTTTTGTTCCTTTACGCTCCCAGTGGAACATTGGGTTTCAGGCCAGAGTTTTGAAGTTTCGGTAGCAATGGTATTTACTTTTTACGGGATGGGGTTGCTAGCCTCATGCCCAACCAACCTTCCCTCTTTACCAGTCTTATTATTGGCTTAGCGAGGTTTGGGAGTGCGTCGGCCTGGGATTGAACTCCGAACCGCATGTGTGGTTGGCGAGCATTCTACCTCTATGCCACCGACGCATATATGAGACGAAACGCATCGTAAATAAAAAGTATTCTGAAATACAAACTCATACTATTAGGGATACCACGCATACTGCAGCCCCTGCAGTAGAATCCGGATGGGAGAAGATGAATTGGATTTGGATCCAAGAGTGACATGGGGGAAATCATGTGTGCGTTTGTGTGTGTGTGACAAATGAAAGCTTATGATCAATCGTGAAGCCAGGTAAAATAAAAGATTACAAGAGAGGTAAGTGAAGTGGAGATGTGTCACAGAAGCCCTATGTTCTACTCAAAACCCAAGGGTATCACTAATATAATTACTGCTAGTCTTCTAGGACAAGTTACCTTGTCAATTTAAACTTTCCTAGTGAAAATAGTCATTCTTACACTATTTACAGCTTCAACTTCAAGCTTACTTCCATTTATGGTTTCTTTTCATGATATTGTACATCAGTTAGGTGATTGTTCGCTTCACCTTTAAACAATACTCAGGATTTTATCCTTTTATTCCCCTATTTAGTCATAAACAAAAAGAAGTTCATGAATGTCCTTTCCTGGAATCGAATCAAAAGGAAAAAAGCCAATCAACTAAAGTTGTTGTTGTCGATCGAGCTGCTTTAAATGGTTAGTTTCTTTTACCTACTTTGTCAATTCACCTTTTTTGTCAGTCTGTTGAAATGATTTATTGTAAGGCGAAAAACTGTACTATATTACTGAAAGCTAGGAATAATGTCGAAGATTTGTAGCTAAGGTGGATGATATTAGTGCAGATGTGTTCTCTGTTCTGGATAGGTTCCTTTACAATGCTTTCATTATTCTTTTCGAGGTGGTGGCTTAGGTGGTATAATAGGCTGAGCAATATTGAGGTTAGGCATCGGTCGAGTGCTAGGCAAGGAGGGGAAATCAATCGATAAGGTGGTGAAGTTACACCGATTCATATGGTTAGGACATATTTTGCGCATACCAAGCTATTGTCTTCCTCGACGGGCAATGTCAGTGTTATGACCGGAATTAATGTGCTGGCTAATCTGTCCTAATCACACGTCAAAAACCACAGTATAAATAATACTGCTGGGCTGCAAAAACAGAAGAGAAAACTGGACAGTGGTAAGAGAGCTTTTTAGTGTCTCAAAAACAACAGTCAAAAAACGTTGACAGCGCTTGTGTACACATATATATGGGTAAAATGACCTTGAGAAGCACTAGTGTCATTGATAAATCAAGACGGTGAGCAACCAATAGGATTTCAAAGGTCATAAGTGGGGTGAGAGAAATACAAACAGACATGTAAAAATAACATGTAGAAAATTAGGCTTGTATATATCGGTTAACTGACTGACATAGGATCAGGCTGGAAAAGAGAAAGCTTGGCATCAGTCATTGAAATCCACAACAGTCAGTTCAATGCACGTAGGGGGGGTGTTACCTTCCTGGTTGGGGTCCCCGGGATGGTAAAAACCAACGGAGGCTGGAGACAATCGGTGATACATCTCAAAATCGTTCTCAATGGCTAGCGCAGATCCATTCACTGTTTGTGATTTATAATAAATATCCAATACAGTTCTATTGTCCTTCCATGTTACTATTGTTTTTGCCTCACATTTCTGTTTATTATCTCTCTGTCTTTTGAATCTCTCCTTACTCTCTTCTGCTTTGTTTGCTAAATGGAGTGTGGCACCTCGAACTGGTGCACGTGTGTGCAAAGTTCTACGCTGAAAACAGTCAATCAGACTTCAATAGGAAGTGTGCTTTAACAATTCTCTATGAGTTTTATTAATTGTCTCTCCAGATGACTTCGAAAACGGTTGTTTCTGTATAGAAACTTCCTCGCTCATTTGTTTATTTGTATTGGCATCGATTATTTTGTTGATTTGATAGTTGACCTTTTGTCCGAGTGACTTCATTTTTATTGTTTGATAAATATGGTTTGTGTCAGCTTGTCTGTTTTCCACCAAAGGAGTCAACAGCAAAAAAAGGCAAAGCTGACATTATCTGCATGATAAACTGTAATAACTGTGAAAAATATTATATGAATCAAATGGGACGTCATCTTCGTTTTACATATCTATATCCATAGACTGGTTGTCAAAAAATATGATATCTATTACCTCATGTCAATGCATACAGACAACTAAGGACATCAGTTCGATTGGGAAAATGAACAGATCTTAGATAGAAAAAATTCCCAGAAGCTTGACATTCAGACGAATCTATATCAAATTTATCAAACAATAAAAGGTAAATCAACTTGAAAAGAAGGTCAGCTATCAGATCAACGAAAGTACTAATGCAAGTCGACAAGACTTTGCTCATATGTGCGGCAGTTCAAATCGCCACACTCCGTGTAGCACACAAAGCAAGAGAATAAGGTAGAAGAAATGCATAATATAGACAGTAAACAGAGGTGTGAGACAAAGGAATAGTAATAACGAAGAACAAAACAGTTTCATTGGAAATCATAAGTCACAAGGAGTGGATGCATCTGCGCCACTGAGAACGATTTTGAGCCATGTCACCAATTGTTTCCAACCATTGGTTTTTACCGTTCCGAGAACCCCAACCAAGAAGTCTACACCTTCCTACGTGGCTTAGACTAACTGTTGTGGATTTCATTGACTGGTGCCATGTTTTGGTTTGACCGCCACTAGCTCTTTTCCAGCCTGGCCCTATATCAGCTAATATTGTCCGTCGAGGAAGGTGATGACTAGGCTTACGTAACACATGTCCTAACCATCTCAGTCGAAGTAATTTCACAGTTTCGTCGATTGATTTCCCCGCCTTACCTAGCACTCGACGCCTAACCTCAATATTGTTCACCCTATTACACCACTTCACACGGGAGATAGAACGCAGACACCTATGATCGAAGACAGCTAATCTTTTCATGTCTTCTGCTCTTAATGGCCAGGTCTCACAGCCAGCCATAAAGGAGGACGGAGCGAACTGATGAGCAGTACACATGCACTTTGGTCGATAGTCGGATATCACGTCTACGCCAGAGACGGCGTAAACTGGCATATGAAAAGCTAGACCTCTGTATTCGTGCTGAGATTTCGTCAGAGATCAACCCGTTGCGGCTGATGGTACTTCCAAAATAAGTGAAGCGGTCAACGTGCTGTACCACTTCACTCCCTATTTGTAAACTAGGAGTCAGTGTAGTCCAGTCCTGTAACATCATCTTGCATTTGGCGGATGTCGACAAGAGGATGAGAAGGACTCCATAAACAACTAGTTTTTTTTCAAAGTCACCAGAGCCATTGTTAATAAAACTAATGGGGAATTCTTAAAGCTCACTTTATACTGAAGTTTACGTTGAAAATAGGTTGTCTAGAAAAACAACGAAGGCTTCGCAAATTAAGCACTTAACTCAGAGAACACAACTCACTAATATTACTAAGAGTATGTATCAGATGAGTATTACTTTATAACATATAAAGGACTCTCCACATGATACTTAAAGAAACAGGAATTGTTCAGAGACTTGCTTTATAATACTGCACACAAAATAAAGAGTATTTAGTCTGTATAACGAAAGAACCAACAGATATTTGCAAAATAATACGAACTCGTTTTATTTTGTGGATTCTTTTCACCTGCATGGACCCCAAATAAGTCAATTATACGTTTCAAAATAGTGTCTGAACATACTTTTTATAGTGATTTCAAGTTGTAGATAGAAAGTATAAGCAACATAATTTGAAAACTGATGTAAGTAGACAATTATTAAGTGTTAAAAGAGTACCTATTTATGTAGTATTTCGACATAGGGGTGGGGTATTTATTTAAAGTAACATTAAAATAGTGTTTTGTGACTATCCAATGTTCATTATGATGTCAGTTGTGCAATTGTACAGCCGGGAAGATAAAATGGTATGTTCCGATAAAGAGTCGTGGCAAGGGCCGAAACACTTTCCTTCTGCATTGACTCTCTTTATGGCATTTTTCGGAGATAACAATCTTTGCAAACTAATTTAGTCCTGTATATACCATGTCATTATGTACCATGAATTAATATCACTTGTTGACATTTATTTGTAGTGTAATTGTGAATACGCATAAATGGTGGTTTTGCAGATGATGCTTATTCGTTTACTTAATTGGATCCAGGTAACCCGAACGTATTACTAAGAGGTCGTGACTGCCTGACTGACTTTTGATTTGATTGATGTAGAAGGGTATGGATTAGTTGGCTGACGTTAAAGTTCTTGGGGTGTTGATAATCACTGGTTGGACGACATGGGTTTAATTTGCCAACATCTTTACAATCCTAAATTTCTCCAACCCACGTTTGTCTATTACAATGTCATTCTATTTTTATTCCCTTTTTTGGTGTTCCATTCTAAAGTGGGATAACTTGAACTGATGCGTTGCTATGCAAGGTTTTGTATAGATCTATCAGGCAGTCTTAGGTAGATATTAATAATTGATGTAGTTGTGTTCTCTGAGCTGGAAGCTTCCAATGTCCTAGTAGGCACCATCTTCAGTGTATACTTCAATTTGAAGTGGGCTTTTAGATTCCTCCACGAGTTTATTAGTCATCTCTCCTGGTGACTTTGAACTTAATTGGTTGTTTTTGTGTATTTTCACACCCTCTAGGCTACTTGTATTGGAGCTGATTGTTTCCCTGACTTGACTCTTTGTCTGTAAGATTTCCTTCTTATCGATTGGTAAATTTTGTCGATGTCAATGGGCCTGTTAATTGCCTATTCACTGGAATTTCAGGCTTCTAAAAATTCTGTAGCATTCTTGGTGTTTCTTCTGTTCAATATTTGAACATTGTCCCAGTCGAATTGATGTCCGTGGTTGTCTGTATGCACTATGGCGATATGAGGGAGTAGATGTCATGTCTTTTGACGGCTAGTTTATCTTCATGGATACGAAGACGAAGAGGACGTCGTCCACTTTGGCCAATGTAGTGCTTTTTTCAGTCATTACAACTTATTTTGTAGATCTACATCGAAATCATCCACCTGAATTACAAATCTTCTCCATCATATTATTTATAATTGTAAAATCCTTATGCATTTACGTCCACTATTTGTCAGCGAATAGCATGATTCAGTATGTTTTAGAATTTTTTTTTAACTGACAAAGTAATCTGCCCTTACTGAATCTTCATACTCTTAGCAATAAGCAGAGCATCCAGTGTGTGATGGCTTGCGGTGATTGTTTTGGATTACTAAATCTCTCTAGGTGAAATGGAATTGAAACCACGTGGTTTACTGGTTAAGTTTTAGAGTATGATTGGTCCACTTCATCGTAGTTGTATGATTTACTTTTGTGTCCTGTTACCTTGGTCATGTTCATACATGCTTTTATTATTATCATTATTATTATTAGCATGATGAAATATGGACTGTTTTTTCTCAGATAATTTTGCTGTAAATAGAATACTTTCTACTTCATTTTATTATTTAGCTATTTCGCATACACCAATTGGAAATAAACCAAAGGAGTCAACTGCCAAACCATTAAGTGATCGTGCTCGAGCTACAAAGGCTAAATTGATTTTACTAAGAGCTAAAATGGAAGCTTTACCGGGTGGTAAACATGCCAGAGATTTACCAGAATCAGAAAGATTTGTTCTCCGGTTATCAATTATGCCTGATATTCTTCCGAATAATACTATAATTTCAGCCTACTTTGGAAAGGTGACTATATATATATATATATATATATATATATATATATATATACGTTTTATTACCAGTTGTATGTATTTCATTTTTCATTGTTATGTGATGAATTATTGTCTAGAATAGCTGTGGTGCTTCGCCCTAGTTAGGGACTCTTCAATGGCACGCACACCATGACCTCATCGGTGGTCGAACTCACGGTTGCCAGGTTATAAGGCGAGCTCGTCAACCATTCAACCACTGGTACAGAATCCTTGGTTGGCCCATAGATTAATACCGTCTCCAGCCAGTGTCATCAGGGAGTCTTCTTCCTTATACCCAATTTGATGGACCTCATGTTGTCACACCTTCTTACTAGAACTTCAAACAACTTCATTCTGTTGTCATACAGTGATGAGTATTAGATTAATTTTCGAGTGTTTTTGGTTTGCAGGGGTTTGTAGTCATTTCGTGATCTATCTTGAAATCAATGAAAGCCCTGCAAACCAAAACTTGAAAATTGATCTAATGTTCGCTAGTAACTGATTACAGGATAAAGTCCTGTGTGGTTCTAGTGGAAAACTGTGACCAGTGGTGTTCATCAGATTAGATGTGAAGAGGAATACTCACCGATGACATTGATTGGCGGTTGCGCTGTATGTCGCGAATTGACAGAAGTTACAATTCATGGACCAGCCATTGGATTCTGTCTCATTGGCCGAATGGTATACGAGCTCTCCCTGTGACCGGAAGATCCTATTTTCGATCCCTAAGGGTGATCCGTTTGGACGCTGTTACCCTCTTTACTAATGTTGTAAAAAGAAAACTCATATCCTTTATGTGGTTCTATTCAATCCCGGAATATCGATGTTTTTATTTACTAATTCACTACTTACACTCACTCACTCTCACTTCGATTTACAGTAAATGTCTACTTCTGATTCAAAGATGAAATTCTCATACAAATAAATGATGCTATGACGGTATATTCTCGGGAACTCATCTCAGCCAACTGTTATATGGCAAGTCTAGGAAACACTATCTTATCAACAATAATCAATGAGTGACAATCGTTCCACACCTTCAATAATGCCCAATCGAAAAATCAACTTTCTCCTAGGAGTAAAATTGTGCTCATCGTCCAATTTGCTTGGTGTTTAACTCCCAGATAAAGGTGATAACTCACTATAGGGTTCTTTTTACCAAAAGCCTAAATGAAACGGATGGTTCTGTACCTCGAATCAGAAAGAATAATCTATTCCATTCATTTCCTGAAGGATCCCAAAAATTTCTGAAGAATCGGACTAAGAAATAGCTGCTCACCTAGATTCACAGAGATCAGACTGAAACGAAGTAAGGAAACCGAAAAAAGTGTGGTTATCTCGCCAAATGATTTTGCCGATAAATTTCAAATTTAAAAATGATACTGCTGCAGAACTTCTTTGCAAATGGCATTCACAATCTCAATAAAACATACTTTTTTGTCAGTTCCAAGGAATTATTTCTCTCAGTATATGAATGAAAAGCTGACGTATTTCGGCACTTTGAAATGTGTATACTGGTTTGCTGAGTACATCAGTTGTATCACGCATGCACTTGTAAAATGCCCTCGCACATACTACCTATCCTGGTTATCAAAGGGAGGACGAAACTGTATCTTCATTTTGGTAACTAAAACAAATTGTGAAGCCTAGGCAGTCAGCTCTATTTAAGAAATCCTTCATAACCTTTTACAGGATCTGATCAAGCCTTTTTATGGGAGTGAGATCAAGGTATCTGGACATAACGGAAACACTGATGATCTACTTGTATCACCGACTTGTATCTGTAACATTTCTATGTCTATATAAGAAGAGTCATAATTTGTATATAGTTTTTTTATCGAGTGGATAAATATAAATTGATTGATAAATAAAGTGTAAAGGATCACTTCTTGACTTAAGCGAAATCCTCTGAAGGAGAGGTAATATGGTGTGTGCTACTGATAAGTTTTATAAGTAGTATATTAAGAGACGATCATCGACATACAAATATCAAATAGCATGGAATGATAGACTCGACGTAAAGGAAAGGAAATGATTCAGTGTTGCAGCAAAACATGGGAGATGTGAAAAGGAAGACAAAGAAACACAATACTAAGGAACGGCAGAAGTACAACAACATGGAAGATCTGTGCAAAATAACTATTTGGAGATACGGTGTACATAGTCTCGCTATAAAGAGATACCAAATCCAAAAGAAATCTTCCATTACCATGTCTCTTGTCTTCCACCGTTACAGTAGCACTGAAATATTCTGTGTATTTGATGTGTCTATTACTGTTGCTTAGAAGTAATTGAATTTGCAGTTGCCCGGTGTGTGTGAATATTTAATTGATTTCGAAATAGGTTTTGTCACAAACGGATCTAGTGTTGGTTCACAGGGACTTGATTGGTTACACGATTGATCACGAGCTGACATCAGTTAGAGAAACATTGGAAAGCCAACTAGCAGGGAGTAGTGGACAACTGTTTCGTCCTAGTTTGGGACTCTCCAGTAGTATGCATCTGCGGGGTTCGAACCCAGGACCTTCCGGTTGCGAGGTGAGCTCGTAGACCATTGAGCCTCTTGGACCCAACTCACTGCTGCATTTATTCCAATTTCTGCCAATTCACACTCGAAATGGAGATGCCATGGAATGGTCAACTGACAAATTTCTGCAGCTGCATACCGATTGGTCGAAAAAGAAGCCTGATCAAGTCACTTGCTACTAGTATTTGGTGCATGCGTAGTCCTGATGCTGTGGAGGAAAAGTTCAGTAATTCTAAGAAAAATCCCAACGGAAAATGTATTTCCACCATGTTGTATAGACAGGAACATACAGTCAAAACCTATGAAACGTGACTTAACGCCCGTGACCAAGAAAATGCCGTACATGAGCTTGAAATTTAAAGGTTACTTAGCTAACGACGTCATTAAAAGAATTATCTCGCAGTCCATGGGAAAGGCATTCCTTACTGCATCGTTGAGAATAGCGTTTTCCAGTCGACCATTACTTTTCAATAACCTGAAGGACAAGATCCCGCAGTTGACCAATTCTATGTGCGTTTATCAATTCACCTGCCTATGTGGAGCTAGGTATATTGGCCGTTTGACTCGAGTTTTATCCAAGAGGGTTCAAGAACACTATCCTGAATGGTTATGAAGAGGTGGAAATGGAGCAATAAGAAGCGGGATCATTGGATATCTGGTCGATAATGATCACCCTATCTCTACAGCCTCCGCCTTTTATGTTATCTACAAGGCGAAAAATAATTTGCTCAAATGATTACGTATCCAACTCATGTGTATTGCTAAACCTTTGGTTATCGAAATAGAGAAGCCAGATCTCTATATATACAGAAAAAAGTTCGTTCAACCCCTCCAACTTTCATGGTCTTAATCCCTCTGTGCTATAGAATGATAATCCCTATTCCTATATTAGCTCTACTTATTTTTCGTTTTGTTTATTCAATTTGTATACTCTTCCTTTATTAGATGAATTGTTACTATTACTATTCTCACTCTGAATTTCCCCCGGTATTATTTCACTCTCCCCACTTTTCATTCTAAAACAATTTTGTTTTGCAACGTTAAATTCTATGTTACCGAATTTCACGCAATGTTACGTAACGTTTTTCTTTTATTTGCCCATTAATCCTGTAAGTTTACGTCCCCTCCTAATATCCATACATCCTATGAATTGTTCTGCATATGACATTTATTTTATTGCCACTTACCATTTAACTATGACTATAGTCACAAACACATTATAATTGCATTCCATACTATTATTATTATTTAATATATTCACACCCTTGATTCAAATATCTCACCACATATAATTTCTTAAAAACCATATATATTTTTCGCAAAAACAGATCTCAATTAGAGAACTAATGGAAAGGTGTTTCGTCCTTTTTTGGGATTCTTCCACAGTACGCACCTGTGATCCTTCCACCAGTTGAGCGATCACATGACTTGATTGCAAATGGAGTTTGTATTTGCTATCGTAGGTGTTTTTATGACGTTATATAGTGTGTTGCTATTGTTCATGGTTCTAGGAAAGCTTGATCCGTATTCAGTATTATGCAACATGTTCTCATATTAATTTGAATATCATTTCACTTTTTTTTATACCTCCTTTTTTCAGCGTTGGCCACTTGGTTGTGTTTTGGATTATGGTTGTGAACAGTTTCACTTGCCTAGAGATAAAGTAAGCCTTTTTTCATTTTAACATGGTTAATTAACAATAACAAACAGCCCAAGTCAGTATTATTACAGTTTTATTATTTATTCCCTTGGATTCCTAGTGGAACATAAGGGCTTCTGCAGCACATCTCTATTTCAATTTGTTCCTCGAAGTTTTTTTTTGCTGGTTCTAGGATTGTTCATCAGCTTTTATCTTCTCAGTATACACACATACACACACAATATCCTCCATGTCACCCTCGGATGCAAGCCTAACTCCACATTTCTCATTCGAATTCGACTCTAGGGTCTGTTTGGTGGGTAATTTCATTGGACAGTCTTATCAGTGTACGTCCGATCCATCTCCAATTCCTTCTTCATATCTGTTTTGCGTAGGGCTAGCGACCCTACCCTCAGAGATTCAATCGAATCTCCACAGAAACTTCAAAACACGGGAAAATTTATAAACGCCTAAGTCAGTAGGAATAAATAAATAAATAAATTACGATTACTAAACAAAGAATACGCTTTTCGATAACTTTATCACCAGGTTCTACAGTTATATGTACATTATAGTGAGTGAATAAATTAGTGTTATGAACAACATTAGTGTTTTTTAAATAATATCGAATCAACAATAGTAATACCAATGGATTACAGTTCGATAGAACTAACATAACAATTCACTGAATATCAAAAGAATTAGGAAAGATAATAATACAAATTCATGAATATATAGTCTCTACTGAAGGCCGGCCAGGGCAGTAGTAGCGGCTGGACTTACTTCTTTTGCACACAAAGCATTGGTTGTTTCACACAAATGGTGATAACCTCAGCTGTTTGGAGTATTCAGTGCCTGGATGCTTTTGGCAATTTATCTGGTACCCGATAGATGCTAGAGAAGGATTCTCCAATGAAAGCTCTGTTGCCGCTTTGTACCAGATGGTCTAATGTCGAACTGTTGATGGTTTTAATACACCTTTATTTAGCCATACTGGGTGATGTTCCTAAGTGAGCACGAAAAATCAAGTTCCTAGAGTAACGGTCAATGTAACTCGCTCCACAAGTTCAGTTGAATTGGTAGGTACATTTGGAAGTGGCTGGTTTAGGTGCTTCATCTTTCAATCGAGAAATCACCATTGGTTGTGTAGAAAATAAAATCAGTTAAAATTACGATTAGTTCGAAGCCACTCACGTCAACAAGCAGAATGCTTACTAACCATATCGAAACGACCTAAACACCTTCGGTGCAATTATAACTGTCTTCTTGATTGCTGTTTATATTATCAAGCAGATCGCATATTGTAATCGGGATATTTTGGGTTTCCAATTGGAGATCATGATGAATTTTTATCTTATGAATTATTCCCATCCAGGCATTAATGTAAAAAAATAACAAAACGAGTCGTTCAGAGAAAAGAGGCTCTTTTTGGCAAATTCATTTCCCGTAGCTGCACAATCGCACTTATATGGATTTTTTTCTTGAAAGAGAGTAGTAAGAAGAGTGATGAGTTGTCATAATCATAGTTGTTAATATTGGTCAATGCATAAGAAGAGTCGAATAAGTGTAACAAAGTTACGTAATAGGATGAATAATTTAATGAGTGAATTCTAGTCAAGATGCACATAGAAACGTAGGAAAATGTGAAATTGCATAAGATTTCTAGAAAAATGCAAGAGTTATAGAGACTTAAGTGAGTAAGGGAGAGTGATGCTCAGGTAGGCTTCGTGTGCTTTTGGAAGTGACATGAAAAGATTAGCTGTCTTCGATCATAGGTGTCTGCGTTCCATCTCCCGCGTGAAGTGGTATAATAAGGTGAGCAATATTGAGGTTAGGATTCGGTAGAGTGCTAGGTAAGGAAGGGAAATCAATAGACGAGACTGTGAAATTACATCGACTGAGATGGTTAGGACATGTGTTACGTAAGCCTAGTCATCACCTTCCTCGACGGGCAATGTTAGCTGATATAGGGACAGGCTGGAAAAGAGCTAGCGGCCCTCAAACGAAAACATGGCACCAGTCAATGAAATCGACAACAGTTAGTTTAAGCCGGCGACGTAGGAAGGTGTAGACTTCCTGGTTGGGGTCCTCGGGACGGTAAAAGCCAATGGTTGGAAACAATTGGTGACATGGCTCCAAATCGTTCTCAATGGCTGGCGCAGATGCATCCACTCCTTGTAACTTATTATTTCCAATTAAACTGTTTTGTTCTCCGCTATTACTATACCTATGTCTCACACCTCTGTTTACTGTCTATATTATGCATTTCTTCTACCTTCTTCTCTTCCTTTGTGTACTATATGGAGTGTGGCGACTTGGACTGCCGCACATATGTGCAAAGTTCTATGTCGAATACAGACAGACAGACAGACATAGAAACTTAAGTAACAAACGAACAAACAGTAAGTTTGTAGAAGTCAACAAGACTGTTACATTGATATTGGTGGAAGTGATTGAATAATTTTCTTTTGTATACAGAGCTTCAGTTTTTATCTGAATGGCTAAAGCTTCAGCAATGCAATGGAGACGAAAGCATTGTTCTTCACTTTATAGACTAATTTGAGGGAAGTGTTTTTTGAGATGGAATGACAAATGCTGACAAGGTGTTCAGTTATCGTAATCCTTATAGATCCAGCCACTACTATCTTTCTGCAACCATGCCGGATAATGGACTGGAACCCTTTCAGACAGACAGGATACACGTCGAATGACTAATGTATCTGGCTCCATAAGAACAGGTGGACTGATATATGCAAATAGAAGTGGTTCGATGCAAGGTCTTATCCTTCAGGCTTCTGTAGACCGATGGACGACTGGAGAACAATAAATGCTTTTAGTGTTGCTGCGAAGATGGAAAGCTCTTCTCAGAGATGCTGAAATTCTCCTCTATAAGAATATCTCAGGTTAAGTCTTCCTTGAAATTCAGGTCTGTTTAAAGTTTCTTTTTTTGAAACAAGTAATGTTTCGTTCCTCTGAACTTTAGGTGTGATATTCTTGTCAATAAATCTCGGTGTGTGTCCATTTTGGAGTAAGATTTATTTCCGAATGTCTGATTCTGCTTCTGGGACGTCAGGGCTACAGATACATCAGATGCAAGTGGCAAGGGGTTTCAGTTTTCATCTTGAAATGTGTAACTTTTAAACAGCAAATTCGATTATGTCAATAAATACTATTTTATATATTATATTATTGTTGAAGACTTATGTGTCAGAGCTAGTGGCAGATTTTGAGGTATTTTTTTTAAGAAGTATACTCATCAATATGAAATATCACCAAGGGTTTTTCTTAGTCGTTAACGACGAGGCTGTGAAGTTACATCGATTGAGATGGTTAGGACATGTGTTATGTATGCCTAGCCATTTTATTCCTCGACAATGGGCAGTGCTAGCTGACATAGGATCAGGTTCGAAAAGAGAAAGCCAATGGTGGTCAAAACAAAACATGGCTTCATCAGTCAGTGAAATCCACAACAGTTATTTTAAGCCAGCCACGTAAGGAGTTGTAGACTTCCTGACTGGTTGGAGTCCTCAGTATGGTAAAATGGCTGGATACGATTGGTGATCTGGCTCAAAATCGTTCTCAATGACTTGCGTAGATGCATTCACTCTATCATTCATAATATCCAATACAATTTTATTGTTCTTCCATATAATTATTCCTTTTACCCCATATTTCTGTTTATTATTTCTCTTTCGTATCTCTCCTTTCTCTCTTCTCTTGCTTTGTGTGCTACTTGGAGCGACTGTTGCAACTCGAACTGGTGCACATGTGTGCAGAGTTCTACGTTGAATTCAGTCAGTTAGTCATTTATGCTTACATTTCTTATGCCATTTATAATGTCAAATGTGTCACATATTGGATTGAACTAGGCCTTCTCATAAAAAAGTTCATCTCAGATTTCATACGACGTGAAAGACTTTATTCCAATCAGTCTTACCAGTTGATTTATGTGACAATCAAGAATTCGGACACGATTTACTCGTTTCTTTTCAATAAGCTGAGTCATTTAAGATGCGTTAATTGACGATTATGGTTCAAACTGTCGAGTGGAACCGGAATGGAAAAGGAGGTGTTGAACGTTTGTTATGACCGGAACTACAACCTAGTAGACTGTGAACCGATACTAACTTACATGTGCTGGCTAATCTCTCCTAGTCACACGTCAACAACAACCATAACACCGCCCGCATGCAAGACACAGAAGAGAAGACTGGACGTTGGTTAGAGAGCTTTTTGCTGTCTCAAAACAACAGTCGAAAAAGATTGACAGAGCTTGAGTATATATATGTTTAAAATGACCTTGAGAAGCACTGATGTCATCGGCAAATTAAGACAGTGAACAACCAATAGGATTTCAGAAGTCATTGGTAGGGTGAGAGAAAATCAGGTCATAAATCAGTAAGTGGTGTGAGAGAAATACAAACAGACATGTAAAAATGAGATAAATATAATTAGGTCTATGGATCGACGTTTGCTGTTGTCATTCAAAAAATCATTTTGAAACGGAAGTGAAAGCTTACTTGCAGTGCAATGAAAGTGTGCTACGAATAACATTGATAATATGATGGTCCCAAATGGGAGGAAATCCCTGTATAATATTTAAGTCATCCGATTCATGTGAAGAGTTTTGAATTATTCGCACTTCTCGTTAGTGTAATGCATATAATACATAACTAAGAGAGAGAGACTAAAAGATGTACTGGATGCAGAACTCCACCCTCCGGGACAAGTTGGATTCAGAAAAGGCAAATCATGCTCTGATCAAATTGCAACTCTACACATCGTCATCGATTAAAGCATAAAGTGGCAGTCAAACCTCTTTCTCAATTTCATCGAATTCGAGGGGGCCTTCGACAGTGTTGACCGAGAAGTAATTCGGAAACTACTTCAACACTATGGCGTGCATTCCGCCAAATATTTATCAACTTCATTCAACACCTGTCTATATGACAATGCCGAGTCTCAGGTGATCCACAACAGAAAACTCAGGGAGGCTTTCGGAGTGAATACAGGTTTAAGATAAGACTGCCTATTATTATTGATGATATTGCTGACTGTGGTGGACTGGATTACGCGTCAGATAGTGGGGAATCAGAAGATATAAATACGTTGGAGCAACAAAAAGACTCCAGTAGATGTGGACTTCGCGGTTGATTTGTGTTTGATGTCACACAAAGTCGAAGATCTACAAAAGAAGACCAACAAGTTTGCAGAAGAGACAGGCAACGAAGAGAGGAATTCAGGTGAATATGGAGAAGACGAAGCCAATCAAGACAACCACCTGACCACAACATACACCCACCACTATCAACGATAGAAATTTGAAAGAGGTTACTCCCATCACTCATATTAGGACGCATCATTTCCGCTACAGACGGACGAATGAAGATGTCAAAGCTGGCCAGTGTTGGAATGGCAAGGCACACCTTCATCAATATGAAATCAGTGTGGAAATATGACGCACTCAGCATAAACAGCAAGATTCGGAAATTCAACACCAATGTAAATTCAGTTCTTCTATGTGGATCAGAAACTTAGCGAACGCGTTGCAAAGAGGATTTCCTACAGCTGTTGCAGACTTCTATCAACTGCTGCCTTCGCTGGTGAAGACCATATGGCCAGCCGGAAGACATTGATGTCCAGGTACTCTGGCAGCTCACCAACCAAGAACCCATTGCTCAACAAATATGCGGAAGGAAATGGAGATGCAACCGGACACGGTGAAGGGACGACTGAGTGATATCGCTCGCCAGTCCAGTGCTCGACTGGAATCCGAATGAGAAAAGGTGCGTTGGACCTTGGTCCGAGGGTGATATGGAGGAGATTGTGTGGAAAGGAGAAGAGAGTTTTTTTGGCAATTGTGAAGCCAACTAGAGAGGACTGCGGAGAACAGAACAAAATGGATATATGCTGTTGACTACCTATGTTCCACTTGGAACCCACGGGAATAACAGTAATATTATACTGAGTATGAAGCTATTCAATGTAATAGATGAGTCTATTCAATTAGTCAATTTACTCATGAATTGTGAAGATGTGTCTTATTCACTCGTAAATAGCCAGCTTCCAAACAATAGCTACTTGGTTCGAATCCCACTCTGCCAACTTCAGTCTAGGCTACTGAACAGCATCATCATCAGCCCTCTCTCTTTCTCACGCGGAAAGTGGTCCATGAAAAGTCTATTCCAGATAACTGACAACCAACAACTATTTATATAAATTAATTTTCAGAATGCAATGCTAATTAACACTGGAATGGCATTCAAAAGGCCGTTTGTATCTAACCTTTTTGTTTCATTTATTTTCTATTCATGCATAAACATTTTTTTTTGTTTGTTTTTATTTTTAGAAATACGGATTAATTCGTGTACAAGATGAATTAGATCAGAATTATGAAATTGGTCAACTTCAACATGATGATATATCGAAATCATTACTTGATTTAAGTTGTACAATTAAACAGCATATTGAGGAAAATTGTTTTTCAGAGGGTGAATTATTACAGATTGTATTCATACCTCAAATGTTGTCGTCGCCATCTTAGTAGTAGTAGTAGAAGTCATCACCGCCAGCACCTAACATCGTCATCTTCATCAGGATGTTCTTGTCCTACTTCGCCTTCAACGCATGCACACACACACGTACACTTAAGTGCTTTGTTAAAGACTTCACCGTTTCTTTCTTCCTCTCTCTTTCTCTTTGTCTCTGGTTAACACCAGTATAAGACGTCTTACTAGGGTATTCATATACATTAGAATAAATGTGTTCAAAATCTAGTTCGCATATAATCCAACATGTTTTGGTTGACTTAGCACAACAATTCCTTAAGCTGTCAGGCATTCATCGTTTCTCTTATCATTTCGTCTCTCCTCTCTGTAGTTTCTTATTGTTCATTATATACTCACATATATGTGTCATTATTTCTTCTTAGTCTCTACTGAAGAAAAGAAATCTATTCGTATGCAGTTTTACGGAATGAAAATAATTTACTTGCAACACTTTTTGTGTTTATTATTCAACCTGTTCATCTCAAAGTTCTGTTGTTTTCTTCTTCTTATGTTGGTTTCACTTTATTTTCCCACTATCCACCTAATTCAGCTTGTTAGAAGACTGGATAGTAATCACTAGCTGACATACATGCATACACTCTCACACATGCACACACTAAAAACAAGTGTGGCTTGTAGCCTGCTAGTCACATGCATAAGTAGTGATGATATACGGATTCACTGTTTGGTTGACGAACGTTTCGATATCACTTTAGATATCATTGTAAATATTTACACGTTATTAATTATATACATATATTCTAAGCTTTACTTGTTTCGTAATATATGCTGAAATAAAGGCTGTTTTTTTAAGTGAGTTCCTCATTTTCTTATGAATTACACGTGTGTACATCCACTATTCTTCTATGAAGTGGATTGTCACTAATTACGTGTTCAACCTTTTATCATTTTACGGTGGATGTACGTGTTAAGAACTAAAATTTGGATGATTATGACAATGATAATAGGGAATTCATGTTCAAAAGACTGTTATGTAGTCGTTTTTCACTCATATAAGAGTAAAATTTGAGTGAGCTGTTTTGGTAGAGTATATATGTCCATAAAAAAACACAATTGAATTCGAAAGTTCTGTCATTCTGTATCTACTTTCTTCTTCTTTCATTCCTTTACGTTCCCAGTGGAACATAGGGCTTTAAGCTAGAGGTCTTAAGTTTCGGTAGTAGCAGTGGTGTTTATTTTTACGGGATTGGGTTGCTAGCCTCATGCCAAACCAATCTCCCCTCTTTACCAGTCTTATTACTACTGGCTTAGCGAGGTAATGAAGGAGTGCGTCGCCAGGGAATCGAACCTCGGACCACTGAGTCACATCATTCTGTGTGCTTTATCAAATACTGGAAACAGTTAACTAACACGGAATCATTTCAGCAAAGTTACCAGTAAGAACATAGATGCAGACTCATTTGATAGTTCTTATTGTAGAACACGATCTAAGCAAGCAAATACGTATTTCCGGTAAATTCTTTCACATCAGGCTTTACAATAACTGAATAAAACATCAGTTGTAGACATTTGAAATAATAAGGACCACATATAATCAGAGATGTGAGTTATTGGATAACAAATAAAATTAATATTTCACCGAGAGAGATAACTATTCTAGGTTGGGGTTGAAGGTCATTGGAGGGAGCAGGATTGAACAAACTTTTACAGAACACACAGATCGGATTGAGAGATTTTTATCTCAACTGCCTCAGTTATGCTTAGCAGCCGAAGACTTACAAACTTGGAGAATTAAAATGTGGCACCTTGTATAGAATTGTAAAGGTGGAATTTTTTTTATCAGTCTTGTGATTCGTATCCACAAAGTATGCCAGTACGGAACTCCTGATTAACTTCACGATCAGAAATTATCGTTTCATAGTTGTGACTTCCCGTTGATATTTCTAAACCAAAGTGATCAACGTAATTTCTGTATGTCGGGGGAATAACTGGAACCGACGCACAGAGGTAGAATGGTCGCCAACCATGCAGGTGGTTGCGGGTTCGATCCCCGGCCACTGACGCACTCCATCTTTACCTCGCTAAGCCAGTATTAAGACTGGTAGAAAGGGAAGGTTGAGCGTGAGGTTAGCAACTCGACCTCGTAAAAATAAACACGACTACAACTGACACCTCAAGCCTCTAGCTTGAAGCCCTATATTCCACTGGGAACGTAAAGGAATAAAAAATCACAAGAAAACATCAATCAGTCAGTGGGTGCATAGGAGTATTTTGATGATTCTACCTTCTAAGACTGCAGAGATGTGCAACGATGGTTTTTGAAATAATCTTCCGAAAAAGAATTGTGAAACGATAAAATGAAATTGTACTGAAAAGAAAAAAAGCAAAACAAAGTGGTGTAGTTTGACAACAATGTCACATGAAGAGATACCTAAACATGTAAATATGTGGTGTTATTTTGTTTACATGTATCTTATCGTATGGTTTGGTGTCAGCTCATGTGATTGCTACATTGATTTCAATGTTGTTGTTTTGTTTATTTTACTTGAACTCAATGAAATGAACAGATTATGCGTTCTTCCTTTTGGCTTATTAAATCTATTGGGGACAATAAACCTCCTTAGTTTTGGAAACATTTTTGTGATTTCAACCTTTATTGGTCTTTTATAGTGTGTCATTTTTGTATAAATATGTGTAACAAGTGTGTGTTCGATTAGAGTATTTGAAAATGTGTTGTGTCAGGGGAATGTGCTTGTACTTTGAAGTTTTTGTAGCAGTTCGATTGATTTCCCTGGTCAGGCTCGCTAACCTCCCACCCAATTCTTCTTCTATTCTCGGACTTGAGACAGGCCAGAAAAATAGCGAGCAGGTAAACTGAGCGGGCGTCGGTGGCATAGCGGTTAGGACGCTCGCCGACCATGCACATGGTCCGGGGTCCGATCCCCGGCCGACGCACTCCTTCACCTCGCTAAGCCAGAAATAATGCTGGTGAAGAGGAAAGGTTGGGCATGAGGTTAGCAACCCCATCCTGTAAAATAAACATTGCTACAGAAACTTCAAGCCACTAGCTTGAAGCCTTATGTTCCACTGGGGAACGCAAAGGAAAATAAAAAAATGAAACTGAGCGGGTGGCGAGTGCTACTGATAAATCTCATCAGTAGTATATAAAGAGACGATCATCAGCCGGCATAAAAACATCAAATAGCAGGAAAATACATTCAATTTCAGAAAATGCAAATCATACAGCGTTGTGGAGATGCATGGGAGAAATGAAGGGTACACAAAGAAACACAACATGAAGTCCAGAAGTACCATGACATGGAAATCTGTGCAAATGGTGCGTTCAAGATAAGGTATACATAATTTGGCTATATGCAGATACCGAGTCTTCGTTTTCTACCGTTTAAATCAATGTCACATAGGTAAAGACATATTTATTTTTTGTCTTTTCGAAATTCATGCTTGGGACCAAAAACTGTCATTGGAGAGGAATGTATGTTTATATTGAAGGAGAAATCTGACTAACAACCTTTATCTGTCCAAAACTTTAATTATACCTAAAAGATCGACAGTCAGTATTATTAATGCTACCTGCTTCTCTAAATTAGTTAATCAGTCAGAATTCATTTACCTGGAACAGAGATCACACACTGTGTGATGGATATTTATACTAACCAGTCACGCAGGCTGAAGTTGTTGGGACACAGGATTCGGACTCTGAATCCATTGGCTGATAGTCTAATGGTGAGCCACCTAGCATGGTGGCGACATTGCAAACATGACTGATAGAATTCAGTCTGCACCGAAGATAGGACTAGACACATTACACTAGTTACTGACTAGTGTGCAATCAAAAATATCCAATACAGTCCTACAGAGGTCAGTCGCGAGCCTGAATAGCTCAGTGGTAACTCGTCTCTGACTGCAGCACTCACTGGGTGACGCGGGTTCGGATATCAGAAGGGACATCAGTTCCTTTGAGGTTGTAGATACACCTTGCTGATGAGTGCCAACTAGCACGAAACCTAGGTCCAAGGCTTCCTGCCGATTGCCTCGTACCATCTAATACCAACGATAGTCTACTACTGTTTGACTCAGTGAGCTACATTTTCATTCTGTGGAATGGAGAACGTTGACTCCCCCCTGTACAATTTATTTTCTGTCTCTGTGTATCATCTATCCTATACACCTGTTAAATTCTACAGAAGAGGAAGGGACTGAAAACACCCCCCTAGTATGCTTTGAAACACTCTGAATATTAGATAATCTATAAAGTAACGTTGTATTTAAGTGCCTGAATTGTGTATTTCAACAAAATAAGTTTATTTAGTCAATAAATTTACAAAAAAAATTATTGACCCGTCTGATATATTTATATATCTCTCTGTTCACTGCTAGTTTATGTCAACAAACATTAGATTTTTTTCTCAATTGTATCAAGATTTTCCATTGAATTACAACATTCCAACTAGCTATAATAATTTATCGCATCCACCCACATATCAGTTCATTTTCGGGTTGTTTTTATTCGATTTTAATTTTTTTGGCCTTACAGAAGTTTTCCAAGTTTTTGAGATTTAAATCAAAGTTGCGTACTTTAGTTGTTGTCTCTTCATGCCAAATGAGAATAATGTATTTCACGAAAACAAAACACGTAGTTCAGCGAAGAGTCACTTTTCGGCGAATTCATTTTCTTAGCTGTACAATCGCGTATATATATATATATATATATATATATATATATATATATATATGGGTTATTTTGTATATATGTGTACATTAAGTTTGTCAAACAAAAATTTAATTGGTTCGAGTTCGAATCCCGCCTCTCCTACTTCAGCCTGTGTGACTCGAAAGTATCACCAGTCATTACACGTTATGCGGTGAGAGCTGTCTGCAAGCCAAAATTGTAGACAACAATTTACGTCAATGTTTACGTCTTGAATCAGGGTCATGAGAAAAGAAAACAATAACAAAGCTTAACCTTGAGGAACTCAACAACCAATCACAGCAGACTTAACGCGTGCAACGCGTACGATTCGCAGATATATGGTCTGACCTTCTAAGAAATGGCCACAAAGAGATGACAGAATAACCTTGAGCAAGGAAACACCCAATCAGAAGACGTTGCTTCTCTGCTAACAATAACGCTAATAATAATGTACATAAAAATCTCTAAATATCTGTTGATTTTCTCAATGAACGATCTGTTGCTTGGCCGTCGTCTTCTGTCGTTACAGTTATATATCGTCAGTTTAATTAATTTGAAATATAATCTCATAACTTAACGAATCAAAATACCCCACTTCAAGAAATATGACATTAAAATGTATCTGAAACCTAGAAGGAGTACTTCAAGAGACTGTGGTCCACTAGTTCGAGCAAATGAATTTTCGCCAGATTCGAATATCACGCCATCCATTTCAATCTGGATGACTGATTAGTATTATTAGGCCTACACTCACTCAATAACTGTAGATCATAGCCTAATGAATGGAAAATATGTCAAAGGAAACGGAGTTCTAACCAACTTGTTGAAAATCACAGTTCCACACTATACTAATCACGTTAATTTCCCTCCTGAATAATTCGTCAATTAGTAGTTTACAGTAATATTTAAAATCTGTGTCACAGTAGTCCATTCACACTTGTATTTACAAGAATATACTTCTCGAACTAGTTGATTTTCGAACGAAAAGCGATCTCCGAACAGACTGTTGTCTCCTCCATGTTTGCGTCTATCTATTTTGAAGATGATGAGGATAAGAGAATCTCAGTTGTCCCTCAACTGTCAGTATTAGATATCCAAATTTAATGATGCTACTAACAAAACGATAATTTACA